TTCACCAACTTACTGAAATTACAAAGGATGAGGAAGTGACTGAACAAATCGTTAGAGCTGCTCGTTCATCCATGGGACAAGATGCTTCTGAATTTGACATGATGAATATGGAGCTTTTTGCCAAGAAGGTGGTCGATTTGACTGAATATAGATCCGAATTATTTGAATATTTGGAAACCAAGATGCACGACGTTGCTCCAAACTTGACATGTATTTTGGGTGAATCTGTTGGTGCTCGTCTCATTTCTAAGGCTGGTAGTTTGTTGAACTTGTCAAAATGTCCTGCTTCCACAGTTCAAATTTTGGGTGCTGAAAAGGCCTTGTTTAGAGCTTTGAAGACACGAGGAAAGACACCAAAATATGGTCTCCTCTATCACTCTAGTTTTGTTTCAAAGGCTTCCAAGCAAAATAAGGGTAAAATTTCCAGATATTTGGCTAACAAGTGTGCCATGGCTGCTCGTATTGATGCTTTCCAAGATTTCCCAACATCCAAATTTGGTGAAATGTTAAGAGATCAAATTACAGAACGATTAGAATTCTACGAAAAGAAGGCCACTTCAGGTAATGCTAAAATCTCTGTCAAGCTCAAGAAGAATATTGAACTCATGAGAGATGCTATCAAGCAAGCCAAGAAAGACGAAAAGAAGGACGAAAAGAAACAAGATAAAAAGCCAGCTGAAAAGAGAAAGAGAGACACCGTGCAAGAAGGTCCTGTCGAAGAAGAAAAGAAGTCCAAGAAGGAAAAGAAGAAGGACAAGAAGAAGGAAAAGAAGGAAAAGAATGCAGATGTTATGGAAGATGAACAAGTAGCTCAACCAGTTGTTGAAGACAAGAAGAAGGAAAAGAAGGAAAAGAAGAAGGAAAAGAAAGAAAAGAAGGAAGAAAAGGTTGAAAAGTCTGAAGCCACCGAAAATGGTGATGACAAGACCGAAGAAAAGAAGTCCAAGAAGGAAAAGAAGAAGGAGAAGAAGGAAAAGAAGGAAAAGAAGGAAGAGGTTAAGAAAGAAGAGGAACACAAGAAGGAAGAAAAGTCGGAGAAGAAGAAGGAAAAGAAAGAAAAGAAAAAGGACAAGAAGAAATAAGCATGCAGTTGAACAAGCCATCATCATTCCATCCTAATCTCATCCATTATAAATAACCACTTATCTATTCTATTATTATTGAGCTCTTCTTCAATGATAACCATTTTGTCGACAAGAGGATGAGAGAACACAGTCAGACAAAACAAAAAAATGCAACAAGTTCAAAGATTGACATTTTCAGAGATCATGGTAAAAAGTTCTGATTTCCAAAATTCACAATCAACAATACTCTCCGATTTATTGGCAAAGGACACTCCGATCGTTATTGAAGGCCTTGGCCATTCAATGAAGTGCATGAGTTGGACTGTGAACGAGCTACAACAATCATACTCCCACATCCCATTTCAAATTACAAAAACTACAGAACAAGTTCACATCCCAGGTGCTGGAACTCTGAAAACCATGACCATTCCCCAATTATTACACAAAATTGAAAAATTACAACGCACCAACAATCACTCCACAAGATATTATTTATCGGGATCAAACTTAATTTCATCAAAAAAGAGTGATGAGGAACTACCTAGGAGCAGAGAATCGCGTCTATATTTTACATAGTTATCGTCGGTAGTAAATGAAGCTTATTGAATGCATATTGTGCATAAGTAGTGTCTCCTTATTGCGGTCTGTTATTTCGAAGGTGATTCAAGCTTGTTTCCGCAGGTACAGCCGACGGTAAAACTAGAGATAAAAAATACTGTCGGGAGTTACTGACGAAAAGAATCCACCAAGACACAAAATACAGCCGGAAGAAGCATCATGTTAAATATTCTAATAATGGAGGTTTAATGAACGAAATAACGACGGAAATACTGTTGAAATAACCTACCACAACACCTGTGGCTGTTACTATCGATGATAATGATGGAAATCTTCTTATTTTATTTTAATTCAATTTGAAATTTTTTTGGTTCAATATTTGATTTAAAATTGTTATTGCAAATGCATTTTAAATTTTATTGGCATCATAATTTACAACTCAACAACGTTGGCAGGGTTGACAGGTCTTGAGCGTCTCATTTTCGCTGATGATGATTTACGTAAATGCTCTTGATACAATTTATATTCCTCAGAATTGATATCATATACATCTTCGTCGTTTTCAAAGTCAAAAAGGTTGTCTGAATTTTTGCTTTTTGAGACTCCAGATCTTCTACGAAGTTTCGCCTTCTTTTTTGCGTTCACAAATATTTGACTTATATGTTTCCTGCATATCTTTATCAACTAAAAACGATTGTTGTGAAATTTAGTCAAACAAATAACAAACACAACTTACTATTTCATCTACCTGGGATTTATCACAATCTGAAAGAATACTATAGTTTGGAAGACTTGAACAAAATGTTTGAACATGAGTAACCACTGTGTCTGAAAGTTGAAGCTTTTGCTCTTGTGTTTGGGGATTAGAACAGATCTGAAGAGTTAAAATTTATAGGAACAACATTACAACTTACTTGGGAGAGAAATGAATGAAATTTCAATTTACAACATTGTTTGATGCTTCATGGAAAGAAATGATTACCAAGAAATATTGACAAGAAACAAACCTTGCGTTGTTCTGAGTTAAGAATTGCTTGCTTTCTTGAAAAAGTGTTATATTCAATGATGGAGCTATATAAGAAATGTTTTTTCGATTACGTTTCTTCTTGATACCCCTTACAGTGTCAGTTGGCATTATGATTGGTTTTTTTTTGTTTTGATTTTTGAAAATATTTAAACGGGTCAACTTTGAAACTATTGGAGAGAAGTTTTTGTAAGCGAGTTCAGATCGAGCGCGCACAGGAAGCGTTTTCTTTACAAAAAAAAATATCATGCTTCAGAACAAGGCCGAATCCAAATTCTTTGACGTGGTTTCCTTGAAAATGTGCCACAAGTGCAATGTACATGATTTGGAATTGTATATCCATAATTCGGCAAAGTGTAAAACCTTGAATCCCTCTATCAAATGCACTTGTTTTTCATGCGGCACAACTTACTTCACTTGTCCTTTTTGCAAAGATTGCTTCTCCGACTCTCATGCATCCAATTTTTTAAAACACATGAAAAGATGTTCAAACAAAGATGAAGCTCAGAACCCCGTTTTCAAGTGTTGTTCCGAACAAACGACAGAGTTTGATCATTATTATTCTCATATCATCAAAAATCATTGTGGTCATTTGTGTTCGTTTTTAAAAAAACGCAAACATGAGGATAAAATGGATGACGAAAAAAACAACAAGAAAACGACAGGAGTGGTTGTTATGGAGGAAGGCTGTGATATTGGTGGTTTATTGATGAACTTAGAAGCTCTCACTGCTGACGTGCAGAATTTAGTACAAACACCATTTCCAATATTTGAATTTTTTGAGAAACTGAAACAATCTATGCCATATGTATCAAATCACTCGTGCGAGCATGAACAAGAATTTCACTTCCCTAAAGATCACCCTTTTGAAAGTTTTGAAGAATTATGTTGTTTTATGTTAATCAATCACTTTGGAATTTCTAAACAAGCATATAATTTCATGATTCAAATGCTGAAATCAACATTTAAAGACCGTCCTGAGTTGATGAAATTATTTGTGAGCTATGATACCTTGAAAGCAAGAGGAAATAATTTGAATCCCCAAAAACCCATGCAGTTCAATGATAATTTCATCCTTTACTCTGTACAAGATACTATTCGAAACATGTTAATGGATCCGTATTTGGTCAACCAATTATGTCTCAACCGAGAAAAGCATCAACAACAGTTTGCAACCAAGCAACCATTTCAATCTAAAATATTCAACAAAATTTTGGAGAAGTGTTAAAGTGATATATTCCCTCTTGTGATGCTGATATATGTGGACGATTTTGTAAAATTCAGAACAAAGTCAACATCAACATGTGGAGTGTACTCAAGTTTGTTGAATTTCAATAGCGACTTCATGAGAAAACTTGAATCTATAAGCTTACTTGGGTTCTCAAAAACTCACTGCGATTTTTGGACAATGACAAGCCATTTGATGAAAGAAATTAATCACCTTGATGGGGAGATAATTGAAATAGAAGATCCCTCTACAGGTGAGTCTAGAAAATTTCAGATTGTTGTTGCAGGGTTTTTATGGGACACAGTCGAGAAGATGTATTCCTTGCAACTCATGAAAGAAGAATGTAGTCGTTGTGAAGGAATTTATGATAATCAACATAAAACACCAGATTGTTTATTTGGAGCGTCTACGATAGAAGATCCAAAGTATGTCACGCATTTCGAGAAAAGAAATATATTTGAAGCAAACACTGTTATTAATAGCATCGATTTAAGATCAAATGACAGAACAAAGGACAAGGGTTTTAAACCCTTAATATGGGAAGAAATGCAATTCAAAGATTTGAAATTATCTAAAGCGAAAATAACGCAAAAATTACGAGAATTACCTGTTCTGCATATCATAGATAATCCTTTTTTAAAATATCCTAATACTGTGGATGCATTTCACAAAGCGTTAATTGATTTTTTCCATTTAGAGATCCAAGGAACTTTTCGAACCCAATTTAAAAGAACAATGAAAGCAATTCATTACTCAACAATCATGGACGATTTTTTGGATGTTTGTGAGAGAGAAAGGTTGCCGAATGGCAAAAGGATTACAATGTACAGTGATATTGACAAACTATCCGGAACAGAGATGCTTGAATTTATAGCAATAAGCGCTCCAATTTGGTACAAATTTCTATTCCTAAATACCAAATATTCAGATAATACTTTGGAGAAGAGACAAAAACTATATGAGTGTTGGATTTTACATTTGCAGTATTTTGTTCGATTGTTGCGGTTTGACCATACAGACCACGACTTAAAAGAAGCCGAGAAACTCTATGTAGCGTGGCGAGTTGCATATAGAAACTGTTTTGGATCCGAAAAGTGTAAATTTCCAAACTTTCATGCAGGCTGTCATATATTTGAGGATGTCGATGATATTGGTCATGTTACTTGGTTTTGGACTCTCCTCTATGAGTTAAAACATTCCACGTACAAGCAATTCAATGACAAAAGTAACAAAAAACAGCTTGAAAAAAGGGCTTCTGAACGAGAAATGGTCATGAAAGCTCTTTTTACAAAATATCCTCAATGCAGAAAATTGATACCAAGAGCAAAAGAACCAGAATTCAAGCTTGAAAAAGACATTTTTGTCCTATTTGAAACGGATCAAGGAGAAATGAACATTGCGTTCGTTAAACAAGTAACTGATAAGGTAGTTCTTAGTTCCTTGATCTTTGAAGTGAAACACATGGATAACGTTTCCTATATGTATCACCTCAAATGCATTCCACAACTAATGCTATCAGCAATAGATATCAGCAAAGTCAAGTCTAAATGTAGCTGTATTTGCTATTCATTGCCATCTGGGTTAAAGTGGCAATTGAATCAATTTGCATTTTGTTATAATTTTTGTAAATAAATATTAATTTTCTAAATATTTCAAAAATCAACAAGTCTTATTCAACAAAGTATCGATGAAAATAATTCGTGGTACTTTCATCCGAACCAATCCGAAGGTATTGTCCGTCGTTGTTATCATAATTAATTTCAATCATTATTTTGTCAATATTATTCTCCGTCCATATCTTGCCAGTGGTATTTCATCCGACAGTATTGGTCGAGCAGTAAAATATGTCATATATTCGTCGGTCAGTATTTTCCTCATTTACTTTTCCGACGGTATTTTGATGACCAGTATTATGCACATGTAATTGCCCTGTTGTATTATGTCGTCCTTGATGCCATGGTTAATATCCATCAGTATTTTAACCAGGGATATTCTCCATCCGTATTCGTCCAGCAGTATTTTAATCGACGGTATTTTTCGATGGTAGATAAACGTCTTATTTTTGCCCGCACTTATTTTCTGATTACTCATGCGGTATACCTGCTTCCTTCTGCTCCTAGGTAAATGATGATCAAAAATTTCTCCATTCAAAGACATTACCAACAATACACAATCAACCGTACGAGCCATTACAAGGCGATCTTGCTTCAGACACAGCAAAATCAGAATTGGAACAATTACAAAACGATTGTCAAGATTTTACTCAATTCATCATGAACGAATTGACTCATCACGAAGAATTATCCAGTTTAGGAATATGGCTTGGTCATGATCAACAAAAAACATGGCTTCATTTTGACTGTGCTCACAATCTCATGTTACAAATTCGTGGAAAAAAGACCTTCCTATTGGCATCTCCTTCACATTATCTTGATCTCTATCCGTACACCTTTAAAACATGCAAAGGACAAGATATGAAAGGAGAAATTTATCGATTTTCAGAGGTCAATGCATGGAAACCTCAACTCGATCAGTATCCACGAAGTGGTCGAGTTCAGTTTTTGGAAGCACCACTCGAAAGAGGAGATGGATTGTTGTTGCCAATGGGATGGTGGCATGCTGTGTTATCGGAAGGAGAACGTGCTTCCTCGTGTGAAGATGACGCAAGCAGTTGTTGTTGTTGTTGTGGATTTAATATTGCTCTAAATGCCTTTTGGGATGCTGATGAAAGTTTTTGGGCGAAACGAAATCATTTAAAGTCCTTTAGAAAAACTTACAAATAACTAGGATGGTTATATTCCAATCTGAATTTGCAAGTTACTACTACCTCAGATGAATTTCGAGTGTGTAATTGAGAATTAAGACATTTTCGAATGATATCAAAGTGAAGTCCTCGTGAAGTTGTCACACTCCGCGGTTCAAGATAAGGATCCATTTCTAATGGCATTCCAAAATCATGATCTGCAAATTTGCACTCATCCCGAGATCCTCTCGCTTTTTACCATTCTCAAAGAAAAACACTATTCTCAACAACCAACATCTATTCATGTCATCATCATCCCTTCCCAACCATTCCTCAACAACAACAACAACGGCACTACCCAAATTTTCACCAAAAAACTCATCCTATGACAAGCCACTGATTGCATTGATTGGTGAAACATCTGGAACGGAATTGACTGATTTCATCATACCATACAGTGTTCTTGTTGAAGCCAATGTTGCTTCCCGAGTGCTGACTGTTTCGACTTTGAAAGACGAACCCATTCACTTATTTCCCACTTCATGCAAACTTCTGGCTCATACTCATATCGATGAGTTTAATGAACAGTATCCACAGGGAGCTGACTATTTATTCGTACCTGCTGTGAAAAACAATTCCAATACTCGCTTGTTGAAATTTGTGAGAGAACAATTCAAGAAAGGTGCCACTGTGATTAGTATTTGTGATGGTGTTTGGGTTGTTGTCCATGCAGGTTTGTTTGAAAAGGATGAGACATGCTTGACGACAACAGCAACACCACTACGCGGGGTAGGTCATTGGTATTCGATGGACAAGTTACGAAAACAACATCCTCATGTGGAATGGGTAAGCAATGCAAGATATGTCGTTTCTACCACTGCATCTCATGGGACTCTTATTTCTACTTCTGGAATTTCTGCCTCCATTCCTGTGAGTTTAGCATTGGTTGAAGCCATTGCTGGACATGAACATGCTCAACAAGTGGCTGTGAAATTTG